CAGCGTGACCATTTCCCCTGGGGGGTGATTTCTCACTTTCTGTCTCTATGTCTCTCTCTGTCTGTCTGGCGAGTGCACGCACCCTATAGCGAAAAAAAAAAAAAACTCTTCAAAAAAAAAAAGAAAAAGTAATATGTAAATTAAGCTTCATGAAGATCCATCTGGGGGGCCGACAGATGGCATGGTGGTTAAGGGCGCTGGACTCCCACATGGCCAACTGCAGTTCAAGTCCTGGACCTGGCAATTTGCTTTCTCACTTTCTCTCTCACTCTCCCTCTGTCCCTCTCTGGTCAAATTAAAATAAATAAATAAATAAAGTTAAAATAAAATAATTCTTTAAAAATAATCCATCTGGTAACCATAATTATCAGAGGCAAGAACAGCTAGGAAAATATTGTTATACCCTGTAGAAGAGATAATGAGGGCTGAAAAATTAGAGGAGATACTCTGAGAATAGACGAAAGGTGGGCGATATGAGAGTACTACATACTAATTAGTATTACATGCTAATTATAAATGTATACATATACATATACACATATACAAGGTCATTTTTATGTACATACACATGTAGTATAATTAGCAAGGCAAGAGAGAAGTCCAAGTTGATGCCAACCTTATGGATGTATGTTGAGAATTAAATGTTATGGAGCCAGCAGGTGGCATGGTGGTTAAGGGCTCTGGATTCCCACATGGCAAATGTGGTTCAAGTCCCAGACCTGGTGGCTTGCTTTCTCACTTTCCCCTTCTCTCTCTCTCTATCCCTCTCTGGTCAAATTGAAATAAATAAATTAAATAAATAAAGTTCAATTAAAAAAGAAAACAATGGAGATTAGGATCAAGTACAAAGTTCAACAGCAGGAAAGACTGTTGATCTTTATAAAGGATAGTTTATTCATACTTTCTTTTTCCATTTAAGAATTATTTTATTTACATTTATTTATTGAACTGTTGCAGGCAATGTGGGAGTTCAAGACCCTTAACTACCATGCCATCTGCTGGCCCCATACTTTCATTTTTTTATTTGTTTATTTCCTTATTTAAATTGCCAGAGGGTATACAGTCTTTCCAGAGAGGGAGAAAGTAAAAAAGCAACTCCCCATTGGGAAAGGTCACACTGCAATCCCGTCTCCTCCATTTCTGCCTCCTTTCAGGAGGACACACCCGGTGTGTTTTTCAAGCTGTCAGGTCAGGAACCTGAATCATGCTGTCAGTCATGTGGAATCCAGCTGCCTTAACCACCATGCCATGGGCTGGCCCCACATTTTCCATTTTATTAGAAAAAGATAGTTTCAGAGCCAGCCCGTGGCATGGTGGTGAAGACGGCTGGCTCCCATGTGGGTGACTGTGTTTTGAGTCCTGGATCCAGCAGCTTCAAAAATGCTCCAGGTGAATGTGCATGTGTGCCAAAAATTCAGAAAGGAGGGAGAAGTGGAGGAGAAGGGATTGAGACGTGAGCATTTCCCATGGGAGGTGCTTTTTTTTTTTTTCAGAGAGGTTTTGCTATAGGGTACATGCATTTGCTGGAGAGACAAAGAGAGAGAAAGAGAAAAATCACCCCCATGGGGTATGGCCGCACTGCAATCCCTCCTCCTCCATTCTCCTCTCTTGATTTTGGGCACATATGCACACGCACCCGGTGTGTTTTAAGCCACCATGTCCAGGACTTGAACCATGTTGACTAATGTGGGAGTCCAGCAATGTAACCATTACACCATCTGCTGGTCTCAGAAGCTGCTTCTTAACTTTCTCTGTCTCTCTAGTGAGTGCATACACCCTCTGGTAAATTTTTAAAAAATCTATAAGAAAGAAAGAAGAACATATTTTCTCCTTTTCTGACTAAAGCTAATGTATGCATACATTATCTGGCACTATTACCTCTTAAAAAGAGGAAATACATATGTATATACACATAATTATAGTATATACATATATGTACACATACATACATACAAATACATGTGTGCTTGTATATATGTATGTGTACGTATATATGAAACAAAAGACTTTAAGGCTGGAAATGGAAGACCTTACTATGAGCTAAAAAGTGATACTGTCCAGCTATAGAGTTTTTCATTACCTTTGCTTTTGCTTCTACATCTGTAAAATGAAGAGTATGACACCTGTGACAAAGCAGTTGATGGAATAAGTGGGAGTATTATAGAAACAGGTAATATGTACATTTAGAGTAAAATTGGTAATTTCTGAATTGATGATTGGTTCCTTAACTGAAAGCAAAGGATAAAATAAACAGCCTACTCGTACCTTCTTTGAGAAGAGTAAAGACTCCTTGCTTGTCCATGTTCAGATCCAAGGATAAGTGAGAGCAGTCTGTGAATGCAACGGCCTCTTTGGTCTCCTTCTTCACATGATACATCGCGATGGGGATCTCTATAACCTGACCGATCTCCACGTCAGCATGGAATGGTAACAGTTCCATTTTGTTCAGTTTCAGGACATCTACCTGGAGGGAAAAATATTAATCTGTCGAGAAAATTATGTTAGAAAAGCCTTAGAAGAAAATAAATCATTACTTAAATATTTAAACACACGTGCACATACATGAACATATATCTGTATTTTTCTGTAAAAACATACAGTACATATACATGTTATTTATTATACACATTATACACACACACACACACACACACACACACACACACTTACATATACACAAGGTGCTTAATATGTTGCTCTTTTTAAATTTCTTTCTTTTTAAAATTTTTGCCAGAGGGCACATGTTCTTGCCGGAGAGACAGAGCGAGGAAGAGGGAGAAAACATCTCCTCAGAGGGAATAGCCACACTGCAATGCCTTCTCCTCCGTGTCTCCTCCATGTCTCCTACACCCACGTGCACACACTCCTGGCGTCATTCTCGAGCTGCTGGGTGCAGTACTTGAAATAGCAGTAGGCTATGTGGGGTCTAGTTGCTTTAATCACTAGCCGAAAGAGCCGGTCCTGACTCTTTTCTTTTTATTTTTAGAATTATTTAATTTTTATTTTCATTTTATTTATTTATTTGTTTATTTTTGGAGAGGTTTTTGCTATAGGGTGTGTACACTCACCGGAAAGATAGACAGACAGAAAGTGAGAAATCACCCCCCAGAGAAAGTCACCATGCTGCAATCCTTTCTCCTCCATTCTCTTCTTGGGATCTTGGGGACACACACACACATGTCTGGTGTGAGTTTAAGTTGCCAGACCTGGGACTTGAACCGTGGTCGACGATGTGGGAGTCCAGCGACATAATCATTACACTACCTGCTAGTTCCTTTATTTATTTATTTATTTTTAAAGAATTATTTTATTTAACCTTGTTTATTTATTTTAAATTTGACTGGAGGGGGGAAGAGAGAGAGGGAGAGAGGGAGAGAGGAAAAGAGGGGGAGAAAGAGAGAGAGAGACAGAGAGAGAGAGAGAGAGCGAGAAAGCAAGCTGCCGGGTCCAGGACTTGACCCACGATCAGCCATGTGGAAGTCCAGGGCCCTTAACCAACATGCCACCTGTTAGCCCCAATTTTTATTTTTTATTTTATTTTAACTTTTTAAATGATCTTTACTTGCTATACATTTATTTATTTATTTATTTATTTATTTATTTTTAATTTTACCAGAGAGAGAGCGAGGGAGAGAAAGCAAGCCACCAGGTCGGGGACTCAAACCGCAGTCAGCAATATGGGAGTCCAATGCCCTCAACCACCATGTCAACTGCCGGCCCCCCAATTTTTATTTTTTAATTTGCTATACAACACGTGTACTCATCAGAGAGAGACAGAGACAGAGTGAGAGGGAAAATGAGAAAGCAACCCACCAGGTCCAAGATTCAAACTGTGTTCAGTCATGTAGGAGTCCAGTACCTTAACCACCATACCATCTGCTGACCCAATTCTTTTCATTTCTTTTTTATTTTATTTATTTATTTATTTATTTTAAAGGATTATTTTATTGTATTGTATTTATTGTCATTATTTTATTTTTTTATTTTATTTGAAGTTGACTAGAGAGAGATAAGAGAGATGGAAAGTGAGAAAGCAAGCTGCCAGGTCCAGTACTCAAACCATGGTCAGCCACATGGGAGTCCAGCTGCCTTAACCACCACGCCACCTGCTGGCCCAGTGAGAAAGAAAGCAACCAGACATGGAACTTAAACAGTGGTTGGCCATGTGGGAGTCCAACGCCTTAAACACCATGCCACCTGCCAGTCCCTCTTTTCTTTCTTAAAAAATTATTTATTTATCGTGCTCACTTTGGCAGCACATATACTAAAATTGGGACGATATCGAGAAGATTAGCATGCCCCCTGCGCAAGGATGACATGCACATTCGTGAAGCGTTCCATATTTTAAAACCCAGATCAAAGCATATTTCTCCCAGTTTGGCACTATTACAAGATTTAGACTGCCCAGAAGTAAAAGGACTGGAAACAGCAGAGGCTATGTCTTTATAGAGTTTGAATCTGACGATGTTGCCAAGATCGTTGCTGAAACCATGAGCAACTACCTGTTTGGTAACAGACTCCTGAAGTGTCATTTTGTACCACTCGAAAAAGTACATAAAGAACTTTTCAGAAACTGGAATACTCCATTTCAGCAGCCATCGTACCCAGCAGTGAAACAATGTAAGGATCGGACACCTCTACAAAAGCAACGGATGGAGAAGCATTTTAAGAAGAAAGAAAAATTACTCAGGAGTAGATTAGCTAAAAAGGGAATTGATTCTAATTTTCCTTCCTTAATTATACAGAAAAAGAGGAAAAACCTTTTAGACACTGATCTTCAGAAATCTACAAACCATGGTCAGTGATGTTTGATCTTGTTCACTACACACAATGCGTAGCAATTAGGCTACAGGGCTAGCTCTCAAAAAGCACCTACCATTACACAGCAGGAGTTTGGTACATACAGTCCTCAAGCCTTAGTTTGCCTCTATTTTCCAGTGTCTTGTTCAAGTTCCCACTTCTTCCGTGATAGTCTCTGACTAGTCTCACCCACAAAAAATTTTCTTTTTATAAGTTAACAGTACTTTTATTATTCAATTAAAGTAGCACAAAATTGTATGTATCTTTAAATACTTCATAAATGGGGCCAACAGGTGGTGTGAAGGTTAAAGTACTGAATCTCACATGGCCAACTGCATAGTTAGAGTCCTGAGCTGGTAACTTGAAAATCATGCCTGGCACGTGTGCATGTGTACCCAAAATTCCAAGGAGAGAATGGAGGAGAAAGGATTGTGGTGTAGCCATTCCCCAAAGGATGTGATTTCTCACTTTCCCACTCTCAGTCTCTGTCTCTCGCCAATGAGCAGACATGCCCTATGGCAAAATCTAAATTAATTAATAACCTCATATATAATTTCTTAAAATGTTATTTAACACTTTGTAAATACGTCTTCCTATTAATAGTTAGATTTCAGATATTTTAAGGTAGGAATAATATGTTATGTATCTTTTTTTAAAAAGGAATTATTTTATCTTTATTTATTTAATTTTATTTAAATTTGACCAGAGAGGAACAGAGTGGAGGGCGGGGTGAGAAAGCAAGCTGCCAGGTCTTGGACTCAAACTGCATTGGCCATGAGGGAGTCCAACGCTCTTAACCATCACACCATCTGCTGGCCCCAATATGTTATATATCTTTGAATGTCTTATGATAGTACAGCATTAAATACTTAGGGGATACTTGATAACAGTCACTGAGTGATAGCAAAATTCTAAGTCCTGCAGAGAAAAGCAACATACGTTAACTGTGAGAAAAATTATTATATAATAAAGTAAAAAAAATTTTTTGCACTCTTTTAGAAATCAATTGGCAAGGGAACAGCAGTTAACGTAATGGCTATGTCACTGGACTCCCATGTAGTGAACGGAGGTTGGAGTCCCGGACCAGGTGGCTTAAACTCACGCCAGGCGCGTGTGCGTGCGTGCCCAAGATCCCAAGAGGAGAAGGGATTGCGGGGTGGCCATCCTCCCTCGGGGGTGATTTCTCGCTTTCTGTCTCTCTGTCTCTCTCTGTCTTCCCGGCGAGCCCACACGCCCTATAGCAAAAAAACCTTTCCAAATAAATAAATAAATAAATAAATAAATAAATAAA